GTTAAATTAATTTATAAAATAACAGATATATGATTTGATTTACTAATATTATTCTAATATTTTCTGTAAATAAGCAAAAAGTTTAAAATTATAAAAAAAAATTAGATTAAAAAAAATAATAATAAAGATAAAAGTGTTAAGAGAATATTTTAACAGGATAATTAGAGTTTTAATATATTTCTAAATAATAATTAATAAATAATCTAATAAAAGAATAATAAGTAATTATGAAAACTCAAGATATAATTATTTATTAATTATGAATGATAAAGAAAAGATATAAAAGAAATATAAAAAGAATATAAATATAATAAAAAAATAGAAAAAAAATCTTTCTTCACAGAGAAAATATTAAAAATATATTACAATAAATCTGATAAATAGATTTTTACTTAAATTTATCTTAATAATATTGAATTAGAAGAGACTAAATTAATTAAAAGATAAAAAAAAATTAAACTATATTTTTAATACTAATAAAAATTTCTAAGACCTGTATTAATATTTATGAATATTATTTTTAAAAGAGATAATTAAATAATAAAAAAATAAAATATAAATCAAGAAATTATAGAGATCAATTAGTAAAGTTATTAGTAATTAATATAATTTAAAATTTAAGTAACTAAATAGTAAAGCTATTATTAATCAAAGAAGATTATAATTAAAAAAAATAAAATTAAAATAAATAATAAACTAAATTACTAAAATGAATATAACTTATTTATAGTAAAGATTTTTTACTTTCAAAATAATAAAACAAATAAAATAAAAATATGATTTATTTATAATAAAGATCTTTTACTTTCAAAATAATTAAAATAATATTAAAAATCAAAAATATAATATTATAATTCAAATTAAAATTAACTTTATATAATCAAAAAAATAAAATTAAGTAAGAGAAAGAGTATTAATATAATTAGAAAAGAAATTTTTAAAAGATTACTATTATTATAATAATAATCTTTTTAATTATATTTTTCAAATAATTTAATTCAAAATTATTTATTTCAAGCTAGAATAATAGATCCTTTTATATATTTTTTAAATATATAAATTATTATAATATTATTAATTAATATTATCTAGATATATATATTATTATAATTTATTATTATAATATTAAAAATATCAATATTATAAATGTTAATATTTATGTGAATATTTATATAAATATTTATGTAAATATTTATATAAATATTTATGTAAATATTTTAAATATTAATATTTTATTAATCTTTTAAATATTAATATTTATGTGAATATTTTATTATTTCACCAAAAATTAAAAAGAATCTTTAAATATATTATTTTATTAAATACATGAAAAATATATAATATATAAATTAAAAATATAGATCTTAAATAAAGAAGATAAGATATAGTATTTAAAATAAAAATATAATTATAAAAAATAAATATAGTAAAGGAAATAAATATGTGATATATAAATAAGAATAATTATATAATAAATTATGAAATTATAAAAAAAATAAAATTTTGCATAACTAAAGAAAAATTATGAAATTAAAGAATTTTATATTACTATAGTAATAATATAAATATATAAATTCTAAAAATAAAATGATTTATTTATTTATTTTATAATATATATAACTTTCTCATATAAAAATATATATATTCTATCTTTTATTTTTTATTTTTATATATAACTTTTAGTCTTATATTTTTTTTGTATTATATTTATATATTATAAGTTTATTTATTTATTAGATATTATTGATAATAAGTAATTCAAATTCTATATATTTTTATTAAAACTACAAATATTTAATATTAATATCAAAAAAAAGTAAATATACTTAATATTATATCTTGATTATTAAGAAGTACTAAAATAATATTAAATATAATAAAAGATTTTTTAATACTTTATAAACTGATAGTAATTTTAATATTTTATAAATTAATAATAAAAATAAATCTTTAAATAATAATTAATTTGTAAAAAAATTTAAATAATTAAAGTTAAATTAATTTAAAAACTTTTTTAAAGTAAAATAATCAGATATAAAAAAATAAAAATAAAATAAAAAAGTAACATAGAAAAAAATAGTATCAAATATTAATAAAATTATAAATTAGTTTTTAAAAATTTAAATTTTGATAATTTATAATAATATTAATAAAAGTTTTTATATGATAAGATAATTAATTTTAAAAATAATAATAATAAATTTACTTTAAATTTACTTAATATATTATTAAAGAGAAAGCTAGATAATATATAACTTTATATAATAAACTTAAGAATTTTTTAAATTGAAAATTAGTAAGCTTTTTATTTTAAATATTAATAAAAATTTATAATATATATATATTATTTATTTATAAATAAGTTAATAATTATATAATAGTTAACTTTCTATATTATATTATAATAATTATGTAAAAATTCAGTTATTCTTGTTATATAAAGATCTTAAGTTGAATATTATAGAGTATTTATATACTAATAAGTTTAAAATAATTATTTATTAATTATAAAATTTGTAAAAAAAAGCTATTTCAGCTTTTAAAATCAAAAAAAATTATTTATAAAGAAATAACTTTAATATAATTATATTATCTTGATTAGAATTATAAAAATTATTCAAAAAATATCTTTTTTGATAAGTATAAGTAAGATAAGATAATGATTTATCAGAAATACTTTTTAAAATAAATAACTTATCTATAATTTTAGTTTTTAATTTATATAAATAAAGATATAAATCAAATTATCTTACTAATACTTTTATTAAATATTTCTAAAATTATTTTAATAATTCATAATAAATCTATTTTTTATATTAATAATAATATTATTACTTGAAGTTTTGCTAATAAAAATTAAATTTAATAAAAATTATAAAGTCTTAATATTTATATAAGTGATTTTATTTATAAATCAATAAGATATCTTTATTTTTTATCAGAAAAATAAGTAATAAATGATTATTTTCTAATAATAAATATCTTTTATCTATAAAAACTTATATTATTATTTATCTTAGTATGAATTATAATAATTAATAAATAAATCAGAATAATATAAAATAAATAATTAAAAGAATTATCTTAATTTTTAAATAAATATATTTTAAAAAAAATCATATTTTTCATATTTGATAATAATTATAATCATGCTGCTTTTATTAATAATACTCTGATAATTTTGTATATAAATATGAAAGATAGAGAAAAATAATCACTTTTTTATAATGATCTGATATCTGATAATTCTTCTTATAATTTAATATTTATAGATATTATCAAAACAAAGAATATTTAATATGTTTTCAAGAGTATGAATTATAAAAAGAAGATCTAGTAAAGTAATATGATGTATATAAATTCCATATGTCAAATTCTATTAACTCAGGATGTTATATAATATTAATTCTTAACTATCAGTTTAACTTTGTATTATAAAAAAGTTATTTATAAGAGATTATCAAAGTAACTGATTATATATATATCTTTTATTTGAAATTTTATTGTAAACTCAATTTTATTAAGTTATTCTGGACCAAAGCAAAGTGAAATTCATGATTGTATTGTGATTATATCTTTCAAAGTCTTAAAAATATTATTCTATATATATTAGAATCTGTTACTCTAATCAAGATTTACTATTTTGCATGCTAATTTACTTGCTATATGAGCATGATCTTTCCAGAAATGCTGCAGTTTTTGCAGTAAGAAAATATCAATCTCATCATCAAGTTCTAGCAAGTGTTTTAGAGAAGTTTGATTATTTATAATAAATTAAAGTATTAATTAGATTTAAGTATAAAGAATAGAGATTTATCAGATAGTTGGTTATTATTAAGAGAAATAGGAGTTTAGTGAAGATTAGAGGGTGTTATTCAAGCCCTTTTATAAAGCTTGGGATTGCTGATTTATCATTTTTTTAATTATTACTCTTGTGATTTATTATTTTTTAATATTGACAACTCGTATTAGTCACGTGCTGTTAAATAAACCAATAATAATCTTTTCATGTGATGCATGTGACCTAACTGCTCAAAATTTATTAAAAAAAAATACATACAATTATAGACGTTATTAAGAGCTATCTAACCATGTATTTTTTTATGTAATTACCTGTTTGGATATAAAGCCTATATGGTTCAAAGTATTTTATGCGACTAAGCTGGGCGCACCATATTTTTTCAATAACCATGGTAAAAGCATTTTCCTTACAAAGCGTAATTATAATCTATGGGCTAGGGTCAGGCTGAGACTGGAGATTAGATTAATTGGCTCGGTATTGGATTAATTTTTGCCGGGTTGATCAAAATTTACGTATTCTCATTGGTTTAGAATAGATCGTCAGGTTCGGAAATGCCCGTTTTTCGCTTGATATAAGCATACCCCTCATATTTTTTGTCTTTGAATTCTCTTACTCATAATATATCAGCGAAAAAAAAAAACGCGTATTTATCTTATTATATTTAAAACCGATCGGCTTGTATTTAAGAATTTGCGTGTGTCTAATAAAAGACAAACGTAGAAATTTCTCGAATTTGTTTTATATAATTTATTTTATATCTCTCCATTGATCATTCAACCACCTGCATTGTCTTTTATCAAGCCACTTCATGTTTTGTAAATCACTTGAAAAAAGACAACATCAATCTCAGGAGCGCCAGCATCTTTATAGAAAACGTTTAATACAGAAGCACAAACGTAAGAAGTTGATGACTTAAATAGTTTCTCAAATAGTTGGAAATTGAAAGAAAAGTAGGGATATTTAAGCAAGCAAACACGTGAAAAAAAAACCATAAAACAAAATAATTATCTTTTAACCAAACGACGTCGAGTCTCTTTTGTATCACTACTATTACTTTATTTGTTGGAGTAAATTCGTTTTCGGTCCTCCTTAAGCTTTTATCCTGGACAACAGATCACCCAACCTATATTTTTTTGAAAACGTATTTCTCAACTATCTATCAGACAATACCACATTCTAAGAATATCTAGCAGCAATCATGGAAACCCTAAATATCGGTGGCAATGAAAAAGACCGATTTTATCGGTATAAAATGCCAAAACTTATCTCAAAGGTAAAAAAATTCAGAAGATTAGATGATTTTTATTGTCTGAATTAAAATAATTAAATTCGATTATTCTCTTGCCTGAATTTTTAAACATATATAGATCGAAGGTAAAGGTAATGGAATCAAGACCGTTATCCCAAATATGTCAGATATCGCTCGTTCTCTTGGGCGTCCGCCAACTTGTAAGTATACTAATCATAAATATGTTGTTCTGATAGCGTTTTATGATTTGAATTGGATTATTAATACCCTTACTTCTATTGATCCTAAAGATCCGACCAAATTCTTTGGATGTGAACTTGGTGCTCAAGTAAAGTGCGATGAAAAAAATGACCGTTACATTGTCAATGGTGCCCACGAAGCTGCAAAACTGCAAGAATTTTTAGACGTATTCATTAAGAAATTTGTTCTGTGTGGTGGTTGTCATAATCCCGAAACTGATTTGGTAAATAGAATCAGAACTTGAAATTTTTGCTTAATAGAACTTAATCACTAAACTTTTTGTTTACACTATTTAGATAATCAGCAAGAATCAAAAAATCATTCGTGATTGCAAAGCTTGTGGTCAAAGAACTGATATTGACATGCGTCATAAATTAGTTACCTTTATTCTAAAAAATCCTCCAACCCCACCTAAAGGAAAAGGTGGTAAAAAAGACAAAAAAGCTGCCAGCAAGAAAAATGGTAACGGTGAACTTGAAAGCCCTACCACTCCTAAGGAGGAAGGATCTGAAGAAGGTTCTGAAGATGAACTTACTCGAACCATCAATGCAGCAGCAGCAGAACTACCCACCGCCGATCCCAATCAGGATGACGATGATTGGGCTGTCGACACATCTCCAGAAGCTGTTCGCGATCGAATTAAGGACTTAGAGAAAGGTGTTAAAGCTGCTTTGGTTATTAAAGATAACGAAGACGGGGAAGTCGGTGACGACGAAACACCTGATGATAGAGATCCTCATGAGCAACTTGCTGATTGGTTGGAAAAAAATAAAAATCTTGGCAGCAAGCTCGAAACCAAAGAAATTTACAAGAAAACAAAAGAATTGGGTATTCCTAAAGAAAGCAATAAAGTCTTGCGAGTACTTGTCTTGGGTCTTTTTGATGAGAGTTTCCGTAAGGATACTGTAATCACTAAACAAATTCACAAAAGAACTAAATTGTTTCAGAAGGTATGTATATATTAATACTATTTAATGTTGTAAATAGTGCATATTCTAACATTAATAACTATTTATTTATTTAGTTTATACTAAACCCCGATGATCAACGTTATCTATTGGAGGCTACCGAATACCTTGTTGGTGTGAAACACAAAGAATTATCGGAAAGCAAGATTATATGCAAAATTTTGATGGAGTATTACCAAAATGAATTGGTCGAAGAAGATGTATTACAAATTTGGCTTGAAGGAAAAGAATCTCCAAAGTACAAAAAATTATTTAAAGAAACAGCCGATGGTGATTCTGTCGATCCTCAGATTAGTAGAGATATTCGTAATAAAGCCAAACCATTTGCTAAATGGTTGAAAGAAGCTGAAGAGGATGATGACGACGATGACGAATAATCATCCTTTGATATATGTAGTCAATTTATTCTAGATTTATTATAGCTTTTTAAATTTTACTTTATTGTGTTATCAATATTTGCTCGTTATTATGCTTATTATTATTATTGATGAATTTATATAAATTGATATTCAATAAACAATAAATTTATTTTATTAGTTAGATAATCTATATATTTATAAAAAAATAAAGCCTGATTTCAATTTTTTATTCTGAACTGGATAATATGATGAAATTATGATGATAGCACTTTCACAGAAATATAATTTACTGATCAAGTTGCTGATATTTTTTTAAGAATTATCTTATTTAGGACATTATTTATTAGAAGATATAACTTTTTTAATTTATTTTATTTTGAATTATAGACAGATATCTGATTATCTTTTTCATTTCATTATTAATTTTTTATCATTTTAAGATGAGTTGATACTTTTGTCTTCCTTTTCTAATCATATAAATGAAAAGGAATTAAGAATTCATGCTATGACTTTTCCAATTGGATCACCAAATCAGTAAGTTGTGAGAAATTAGTGAGAGAGATATTTTGCACGATTTCAGTTTCTATAAAAATAAATATTTGTAAAATTAATGAACGATTATAAACCAAAGTGAATATCCAAACAAGAAGCTTACTATGTGTTTTTGGTTGAAGAGTATTTGTTGCCGCATCGAGCACCCAACCACGATTGCTTAAGACTAGATATTCCAATTACGAATAAACGGTGAATCTATGATTAGAGATTAATTACGTGTAGTGATTTTAACGACTTACTTTGTATTAGTTGTTCTTGCGGCAACCCAAGTCTGTGAGCAGCTTTATCAACGGCAATTGATGAATAAGCTTCCGACAATAGATTAAGCACGCGTTCACGTACTAATTCTGTATTATAAAAAAAATGATTATTAGTCTTATTGCTCACGATCAATTAAACTTCGCCGCTTTAGGAGACAACCATTAAATACCAGCTAATCTAGTCATCAATGGTTCAACCGACGAACTCCATGGCTTGCCCTCAATAAGTCCATACACATTCTCAAATTCACGATTCCATAGTGCTGTGCCTACATTCCAAATAGCACGAATTTCATCTGTTTTTGTCCGTTCTGGAATGCGCTTCCAAAGAAATTTTGCCGCAGGCCTATTTTTGAAGAGCAACGCGCTAGAATTAGAATAAAAATTTGTTAAGCCAATGTAATGAGCAAGTAAAATAAAAAGCATTACAGTTGGTTAAGAAGTAAATATGCTGCAAGATAAGGTGCATAAATTTCTTCAATTGGAATTTCACTGTTGGGTGTAAGAGCCAGCTACAGATTGAGAATAAAAATGTAGTACAAATTGAAATGATACAAGAAAAGTTGAAATTCTTAAAAGTTCTTACAGTATATTCCAAGTCCTCGGCGATTTTTATCACTTCTTCATAGTTGCCAGCAGAAATATGTTTCATGAGTTCTTCGTATTTGCTGGCAGAAGCATCTTTTCTATTCGATTCCATTTGAAAAAATTCGGAAGATTTTTTGAAAGTGAGTTGCGAATGATTAGGTTTAGTTGAAATTCCGCAGATCATTACCACGTGTAGACGATGAATAAACAACCGTGCAAGTAAACTCCCGGGATCCGGGAATGAGTGCCTTAATGAGAAACAATAAAAATACAATGCACATCTTTAGCAGCTGGTTGGTTTTCTCCCAGGTCTATTATTTTTCGGGCGGACGACGACGACGACGACAGGGCAGCGGTTATTAATTTCTACTGCTCCCTACCACGCGCGAACCATTAAATTCAATTATAATAAAAATGGCGTTTGTAGATTTACAAGTTCTAGCAGAGTTGAAAGAACTTGAAAGGGCGATTGTCGAGGTACAAAATAATTGTGAGTATTATTTTAAGTCTCTTGCAAAATCTTTTCTCATTTCTTTCTCCCTTTCGTGTGTGTATGTGTGTGCCTTTGTCTTTTTCTTTCCCTCTTTCTGTATGTTAAAAAGAATCATAATCGTAATTCACTTTTAAAATTGTTTTTTAGTAACTCAAGGTAATTTGCTCTTAAATAAACATTTGTTAGGCTTTCATTAATATCATTGTCAGTTCATTCATTTACACTTTCGTTTATGGTTATTTCATAATGTGAGCTTAACGAGATTAAATTGTCATTTCTATACCTTGAATACTTGACTCCATATTTTACATACCCTATATGAATAATAATCATAGCACTTTCGCAAACTTCAGAAATCAACGATTCACTCCAGTCTAGTTATGAAACAACGAATATAATAGCCGAAAGCATTGCCAATAACAATAATAACAATAGTAATAACAATAACAACAACGATGATAATGATGATGCCGACGATAATAGTAGCACAAACCACCTCGACGATATCAAAAAGACTGGATTGAATAATACAGGGATCAGTAAAGAACTTATGCATGATGGTAATATTACTCCCGTATCTCAAGAGGATAGTAATAAATTGACCAATGAAATGGAAATAAACGTTCTTCACCATCAGACTACTATTAATGGTAGCACTGCGATCGATACTATTACTGCAAATAATAATAGTAGTGATACAGCAATATCTCTCCTTATTGAACCGCCTACGCCTACATCGGATACTATGCTTTCTACATCATCATTCATGACGAGAATTTCGTCGCCATTAAAACAAAGTTATATTCCCGAAGTAATTCTTGAAGAATCCGACGATGAAGAATTACAAAATTCTAATGACGTTAATAATCAAGATGATGATGATGATAATAATAATGATATTGAAGAATCTATTTCTGCCTCAGTTGTTCCTAATGGTAAACACGAGGAAGAATTGCTGAATAATAAAAAGTCATCAGAGACACGAGAACTGAAAAATAAAATTTCATTTGATGATGATTTTATAAATCAACAAATCGACAAACTACAAAATCAACTCAAATTATCATCAGCGGTCCCTTCAGACTCTGTCCAAATAGAACTTGCTTCACCTGAATTATTATCCACGAATGATCAATTACATAAAGAAAATGTTGTGGTAGAGAGTGAAGATTCACTACAACCTGGTTTAAACGAATCTCCTCCCGAACCTCCAAATACAGAACCGCAAAAAAGTCCTCTTGATCCTGTTGATCGCCTAAAGGAAATATTGCTTCTCCAAAATTCTACGTCTAATAGTTTAGATCTACCCAATTTAAACGTGCAACAGTTCACCACACCACCGATAGCACTTGAAGAATCGAATTCGAATAAAAACTTTAGCAAACTTGAACAAATCAACGAGAAAGATGAATCATCTTTATCAGAGCTATCTACCACGTTCTTGGGCGTTCCACTTTCCACAGATATTAATAATACTGATATTCCTCTTTCAAAAATATTTGAAGATCCCGTTCCTTCTTCAAATCTCGAAGAAAACAAGGGTGATACTTTTGCAATGCCAGATCTTATCAATGAACTTTCTTTGATTCAAAATTCGGTGGATGGTCTTTCAATAACAGATACATCCCTTGATGAACATCTTAACGAATCAAAGTCTATTGATCAATCGACACTCTCACAAAACTCAGAGATTGATCAGAAATCGTTCGATAATACATCTTCGACAGATAGTGCCAACTCTTCGAAGCAGAATTTGGATGAATTATCATCTTTAAGCGTGGACTCAAAGTCATTATCTGTGAATGCAGAATCTATAAAAAATAGAAAAGTACCTGTAGCATTGGATATGAGCGATATCAAAAATATGAAAATTCGGAAGCATCGGATAAACGCATACGGTAAAAATTTTTTATATCATCTATCCAAACAAGTTATTTTGCTGATAAAAGTTATGATTCGTAATTTATATAGTTCAGAAAACATTGTCGCTGAATCAAGAAAAAACAGGACTGGCATTATGGTTATGTCTAAACATCAAAAATGATCCTTCACCATTATATGACAGTATGTTAATTCATAGACTGGCGTTTCTTAATTGGCTTATTGAGAATTTTTTACAGTTGGTTAATATTCGATTTTTTTTTAGGTTTGAAATCCAATCGAAATAGATCATCGAATTCACTCTCACGGAAATCGTCAAAATCTACAACATCATCGGCACCATCTTCCACTCCTACCGCAAAAGTTTATTCAAATCCAAAGGCTTCGTTAAGTTCTCTAAGTCAAATTACCACAAATTCTATATCTTTAGACAATACGCCATTCGTTACACCCACCTCTTCACTCACCACCAGTTCTTCAAAGTCTTCTAAATCGTCTAAATCGTCTCGAACTTCACTTAACATATCAATTCAAACATCATCGTTGCGTCTTCGACCTAATTCCCCGCCTTCATCACCAAGAGGAAAGGCCTCTCCATTCCTCTCGCTTTCCGCCTTAAATCGTCGTGGAAGTTTCAGTAAAGTCACTCGTCCTATAACATTTATGCCACCCTCGATTACAAACGGACCGTTATCCAACAGCTCGTCGGTTTCTTTGCAATCAATCCCGAAATCACCGCAATCTACATCACCAACAACGCCGCCGAAAAAACAACGAAGATTTAGTTTCCAATCCGTATCGTCGCGTTTTAATTTCAGCTCGTTGAATTCATCGTCATCCTCTTTTACCACTACCATTGAGGAATCAAATGATGCTTCGGCGGTTGAAGTAGACGATAATGCACTTGATAAATTATGTGACGTTTTACCTAATGCGGATCGAGATATCTTGCATAAGTATTTGCAGAAAGCTGGAGGGAAGGATGATTTAATGGCGGTCGGATTGTACATGAAGGATTACAAAAACGGTGAAATTGGCAAATATTAAAAGTTCTATTCTTTTTTGGAATATAATTTCTTTACGAAATTCCTATTTCCCATTTATCCATTGTAATATAATAATAAAAAAGATTATCATCATTAAATTAGACGGCATAAATACAATATATATTATTCGGAACAGTTGTATTTTTTAATCATGTAAACTAGATAATGACGTGTATACTATTTGAATTTTCAAAAAAAATTTATTATTTAAGAATCCACAAGCTGGTAAATATTCAAATAGAGTCCATTTTCGAGCACACGATCTATTTGGTCAGTGTTGAGATGAGGCCATTGCCTGTCCATGTATTTTAGCGAATGGCTTGTTGAGAGTATTGTAGTTGATGGCGTAACTATTAAAGTGCTGGTGACACAAGATACAGTCTTCAATATTGGAAAAAGTGACAATTTTGAGCTAGTGATGTAAATTTACCGCTCATAGTGTCCGAGAATATCCTCTCGTTCTTGGAAAACAATCTTTTGGCTATCGGCATATTGATCTAGTATATCGGCATTCACGGCAACTTTCGTTTCAAGTTCTTGTTCGAGTTGTTCTAATGCGACACCGGCAAGGTCATGGATCGTAATTTGTATATTGCTCTCTAATATTGGGAACAATATTAATGTGGCACATTTTGTTAACAAGTTTTTTGGCTAAAAATTTACCTCGCCAAGCTTTCGGGTACCCTAGTAAATGTCGTGGCGGCATAAACGTCTTATAAAAGATTACATTTGTGTGAAAGATTTCGGTCGAGTTGAAACCTATTACATTTATTTGCACCCTCGATTATTGCGTTACAAACATTTATGAACCTTCAAAACGCGAACTTACTTGGCTCGAATTCATTTGTGACTTCACACACAACATGCTTATGATAATCTTTTACACAATTATGAAATCCCATTGATTGATGTTGCAATTTTCCCAGTACAGGGATTATACCAGCCTGATGCAAACCACCGAAAAATAACGCGGTTATTAGGTTGAAGAGAACATAAAACACCTGAAAATTTGTGTTTATAGATGTAAATACAATAATGTATACGCGTTAAATTTTTATAAACAAAGCAGACAAAAACGTACCCAAAATCTAGAGGAGAATTTCCGATGCAACGATGCGCTTATCACTACAGGCAATAATAAAGGCAACAGGAATCTTGCTTCTTGATGTGGCATAATCGATAACAAGATAAAACCACAGATACCACTAAAAGTCAAAACTATAAGTGTAAATTGAGTATGCGAATTCGCATCATCGTGATTGTCAAAAAGAACTAGTTTATTAATTTGAAAAATTAAATCGCACGCACCAGTGGCAGATTTCATCAGAGAGACTTGACGAAAATTCTTTAGAGATGTGTAAAAATCGATAATATTGTAAATCCCCAGTGGTCCAAAAAGCATAAAATAATTGATGACGTGCACGTATCGCGGGTGAAGTCCATGTTCTGCTAAATTGTTCGCATCGAGATTATATAAGACATTGTTGATTGGTGTTAAGATGACGTTACCCTAAAATAAAAGAAAAAATTATTTGAAGTCTCATAAAAATGAAATAAATAAAAAGATTAACTTACGCTCAAGCTAACAATTTCCAGGAAGTCTAAAGGGTTTTGCAGAATTCTAACCAAAAAATCAAAGCTGAACCATTCTTTTTTAACAACAGTTACTTTTATTGAGCCGAAATAAATTAAATCCGTTAACACGCATAATCCACTCGCTACAACAAAGCCAATACCAACTGGGATCAATCGGTTAAATTTTTCATTCCTTCTAAGAATAAAAATTGATGATGATCTACAATATGTATATGTGCAATCAAATTATAAATCATTAATTGGCCAGTTTTCGGTAGAGAATACGTACATACCAAGTGTTCAAGCGAGCCTCAGGCGCCATAAAAGTACGATAAAGAAACGCAAGTCCAATAGGAAATGCAAACAATATAAAAGTAATTCGGGTGAACAAACCGAGCGCGCCGAGACATCCCAAGATAAATGCCATGTTGGTAGGAAAATTTGTATTCTAACGATAATCATATAATTAATTATTATTGATCTGAAGAAATCGGCAATAATAAAGAAGTTACCTGAATTTCCGTATCTTTTTTCTTTGCAGCAAAATCCTTTGACAGTGTTCCACGTAAATAAATGTAAAAACACAATGCAAGAATAATAGATTCGACTGCATTTGAAAACGGCCGTGTATGAAATATTAACAATACATGGGAAAACGCGACGAGAAATAATGCTTGAGTTGGATCACTTGTGGTGATTCCATTTTTCTGGTAGAGATATGCAATATTATACGCAGCATAATCTGATTATTATTAATATCATTAGTGAATTGTTAAGATGTAAAGCTAATGATCGTATATAATATATAACGTTTAATTCACCTATAATAAAAGAAAGAAGAAAAAAGACAATTCTTTCTGTAATAAATAGTGTTGATGATTTGATTACATCTATTAAGGAAAATTTTATTAGCATGAAATCGTCTACAGATAGGAAATTTACGGGACTACTAATGAAATAACTTACCATCCTCCCCGAAAGAATTAATAGACCATTTATGAACAATCTTAAGCAAATAGAAGGGTAATCCGGTCGTTAAAGCGCTATTTGATTAAAGATCGACTTAATTTCCAAATAATACCAAATCGAAAGGTAAAAGAAGTACTAACGGTATAAATATAGAGCGTGAAGGTAGATGTTCGTTAAACTCCCACGGTCGATAAACCTCATATCCTAGAACGTCACCTAAACGTAATATGTAAAACAATGTTCACGTAATTTTATGATACCAAACACGAAAAAAGAAAACTCGATAACAAAATTTTACCAGCCATTATTTCAGGTGACTGAAAAAATTCGTCTGGATGTACATAGCCGGGCAACAGAGAACAACCCAGGCGCATCAAACATAATAAAGTATACAAGATGTTCGACCTCGATATCATTTTGTGCGATAGATAAAAAATCTTGTACTGATTATCCATTGATTTTTTAGGGGTGATTTCATTTAAATATAAAAATTTAATGCATCAAAGCTGATTTTGCCTTAGCGCAAAACAGTGATGATTTCTGGCAGCAATCTATCTGACAAGGGCGTTACCGTGGTATTAGGTACACAATGGGGAGATGAGGGTAAAGGAAAATTGGTTGACATTTTGGCACAAGAGGCAGACATATGTGCCCGTTGTGCTGTAAGTAATGTCTATATGTATAGTTTACTTAGTCTTTTCATAATTAGCGGTCTATTGATGAATAGTTAATTTATTAGGGAGGAAATAATGCGGGTCATACTATTTATGTTGATGGGATAAAGTATTATTTCCACCTTCTTCCATCTGGTAAGGATTAAATAGTCTTTTTATTACATGCCTTTTTTTCACTTATCTACGCCTAAACTTTATTTTACAACTCTTCTTTATGATATAGGGTTGATTAATCCGAAATGTACTTCAATAATAGGCTCAGGAGTTGTAATTCATTTACCATCTTTTTTCGCTGAAATCGAAGAGTTAAAAGAGAAAGGTATTGTCATTGTCAAGAAGTTCATGAATCAAAGTGAAAAAACAAAAGAATCATTATGAATATGTTTGTTTCAAGGTCTCCAAACCGAGGGGAGGATATTTGTATCGGATCGTGCACACTTGGTGTTTGACTTTCATCAGATTGTTGATGGTCTGAAAGAAGTTGAGCTTGGCAACGCAAGGTGTACTTTCAAAGTCTTTTTATTTTTGGGCTGACAAATTAGCTTTGCATTTTATGTTTAAGAACAAAGTATATTCAAGATCCAGTGATTATTATACTTTTGTAGCATTGGTACGACAAAAAAAGGGATTGGGCCGGCATACTCATCAAAAGCTTCCCGCTCTGGTTTAAGAGTTCACCATTTATCGAATCTTCAATCTTTCGAGCAGAAATTTCGGAAATTGGTGGAAAATAGACGAAAACGATATGGTTACTTTGAGTATGATGTCGAGGCCGAGATCGCACGCTATAAGGTATTCAACACATCGATCTAATTAAAATAACTACTCATCCCCGAAAAATTCCTTATTAACATTGAACATGATAACAAAGCAATACGCTACCCGATTAAAGCCTTTCATAATCGACAGCGTGTTATACATGCACAAACACATTAACATGCGTCAAAAGATTCTCGTTGAAGGCGCTAATGCGTTGATGCTAGATCTCGACTTTGGCACCTACCCTTTCGTGACTAGTTCCAATACTACCATCGGAGGAGTGCTCACAGGATTAGGAATCCCATCAAGTAAAATCGATAAGGTGATCGGTGTGGTGAAAGCTTACACGACGAGGGTCGGTGGTGGACCGTTTCCTACTGAATTGCTCGACGTTAGTATATATTATAATTTAAAGGCAATTTTATGTGGCCATACTTTAAATAACATACGAAAAATTGATAGTGACACGTCAATTCGTAAATTTTGAAGGCGACTGGTGAACTTTTACAACGCGTGGGTGCTGAGTATGGCGCCACAACGGGGCGTAAACGACGTTGTGGGTGGCTTGATCTTGTCGTTTTAAAATACTCGACTCTAATCAATGGTTACACGAGGTAAGCAATATAAATAAAATTTACAAAGAAATGTATTGTAGACAAAATCTAATGAACTCGCTTTGTTATATATAGTATTAATTTAACCAAGCTTGATGTCCTGACCAATTTGCCCGAAATTAAGATAGCAACTGCATATCTACTAAATGGTAAACCACTGGAAAGTTTTCCAGGTAATCTTGCTAGCTCCGTAATTCAAGTTATGATCTAGACACGCGCTGATTCATATTTTTTTACATACATAGCTGATCTCGATGAACTAGAAAATATCGATGTGTGTTATGAGACTTTACCAGGTTGGGAGACTGATATCTCTAAATGTAGACATTTCAAGGATTTACCCATCAACGCGCAACGCTATGTCAAAAAGATTGAAGAATATTTAAATGTTCCTAGTAAGTTTCAAGAAAAAAAACTTCCGTATGTTTAGATGAAAACCGGTGATCTAATTGATTGCTGATTATCCTTTTTAGTCGAATGGATTGGCGTAGGGATGGAACGAGAAGATATGATCGATCTGAAACTAGAGCAATCTTTCTAGAATTATCACGTGTAATAGTATAATATTACAAACAATTTTGTAAAATAGAACAGCCGGTAGATTCTAATTTAAAGCACAAGTACACAGAGTAGTCACGCGCTTTCGATTGATTCAATAAAAAATTACGTGAAAAAGAATCTACGTTTACATTTTTATATATTCTACCTGCTAAAATGTTTAACTCTCGTTTATCGAAGCTATCGCGTAGCATATCTTTATTTTCGAGGAGCTCACTTTTACGAACTCGTTTATTCTCTTCAAGTGCTCCTGCTGCCTCTGAAACTGTAACTCTTCCCGAAACTTCTTTTGAATCATACAAATGTGACCCGCCTTCATACAATGTAGAAGTTGACAAAGAAGAAATGATTCATATGTACAAGCAAATGGTTATTATGCGGCGAATGGAGCTGACGGCGGACGGTTTATACAAGTCAAAATTCATTCGAGGATTTTGTCACTTGTGTACAGGCCAGGTGCGAAATTGCTGTTTTTATTTGCTTAATGTCACTTTGATTTGCACTTATATCGATGAATTTTTTTAAAGGAAGCCGTTTCCGTTGGCATGGAAGCTGCAATTACACCAGATGATCATGTTATCACAGCATACCGTTGTCACGGTTATACTTTGGTTCGCGGGGCAACTCCTCATGCTATCTTTGCTGAATTGATGGGCGAGTTCTAACATAATTTTAAATTCGTTATGTACTTTTTCATGATTCTCCGAAGCTTATATTATTAAATTGCAGGCAAAAAAACCGGTGTTTCGAAAGGTAAAGGTGGCTCTATGCATATGTTTGCTAGAAACTTTTATGGTGGTAATGGTATCGTTGGTGCACAGGTAATGCTAATAAATAAATTCTTTTATTTCCCTAGAGCGTTATTCATTCATCATTCTAATTGATGAATGTTTCATTTAATAGGTTCCTGTTGGTGCGGGTATAGCATTCACACAACAGTATCTAAATACAAAACAGGCCACCTTCGTTTTATATGGTGATGGTGCTGCGAATCAAGGACAAGTTTTTGAAGCCTATAACATATCAAAATTATGGAATCTTCCTGCAATATATGTATGCGAGAATAATCATTATGGAATGGGTACTTCAGCAAGTCGAAGTTCAGCAGATACAAAATATTTTACACGTGGACATTATATTCCCGGTCTCCAAGTAAGAACATCCTCCAGAGGTTTCTTTCTAATTAATTTTTTTGATAAGCTTATTCATTTTACCAATTAGGTGAATGGGATGGATATACTTGCTGTTCGTCAAGCGTGTAGCTGGGCTAAAGATTGGGTTCTCAATGATAAAGGACCTCTAGTCTTGGAAATGGTGACTTATCGTTATGGTGGTCATTCGATGTCTGATCCAGGTACAAGTTATCGCACCAGGGAGGAAATACAACACATGAGAAGTACGAAAGATCCGATAACAGGACTAAAGCAACGTTTATTGGATCTGGGTTTCTTAACTGAATCAGAAATAAAGGTATTTAATTTTCTTAACATAATTATAGGAGGATAATCAAATATCCTTAATAATTTATATATTGTATCATAGCAAATTGATAAAGAGGCTCGCACAATCATTGAGGAAGCAGCAAAAGCCGCGCAAAATGATCCATTCCCAGAGGACTCGGAGTTATTTACGCATATATATGCTAAAGGAACCGAACCTCCATTTATTCATGGTAGAGAAAAAGAAGAAGTGGGACGTGTTTTATAAAAAGCGAATATTATAGACTTATTTATTTATTGATCCAATTGAGAAACTCGTTTGTAAAGAAATGATAAAATTAAGAACAATAGTTTCGTGTCAATAATTAGGTTTTATTATTCATCCTTGTCACTTTTTAATTTTCATATAATAAAACGCACAATTTCTTTAAGTATAATGTTTTTTATCAAAATATTAATTCTATCTTCACAAATGCATATTCTTAAATATAAATATTCAAAGATTGGTTACTAAAATAATTACTTTGTATAATCTTGGTATTTTTTTTATTTTTATTTTTTGGTATTCTATAGCAATATAAAAATTTATATTATTGTAATATAAATTTTATTATATCTTGAACGATTAATATTATATTGATAATTAGTAAATTATTATTGATAAATTATTAAAAAGAAATATAGCAAAAGTATTAAATTCTAATTTTTATAAATTTCATTTATATTTACTTTTTTTTGAAAAATTAATTATTAAAAAAGGTCATCTATTTAACTTTACTAATACTTTTGAATTTGAATTACTTATTTTTAAAACTTTATAATATTTTTATTATTGAATTTATAAAAATCTTGTTATTTGTTATAAGAATTATATTATTATTATTATTATTAAATATTTGAAATTAAATATTTATTTTTAAAAAATTTTATAATTATAAACTTTTTTATCTTAATAAAATAATTATAAATATATATTTTAAATATATTTATATTAAAAATATTATTTAAATGTTTAAATTAATTTAATTCAAATTATTTAAAAATTTAAATATTAATTTTATATTAATATAAAGAGATTCTTCTAAATATATCTCTCCTAAATATATATTTTTTTTAAATATATATATTTATCTAATTCCAAATTAAAATCGTAATACTAAATATATATTCTTTATATTCTATATATATAATAAATTTTTAATCTCTATTATATTAAAGTTATTCTATAAATATATAATATATAATTAAAAATTATATAAAGCTAATAAAATTTAATTATATCATAATTTATTTGATTGTATAATAATTTAATTATTATTATTATTTGCTATAATACTTAATAAACTAGCTTTTATTATTTATTAATATCACTCAAAGTTATTATAATAAATAATCAAAAATATGATACTTGTAATAACAAAAAAATTCATAAAAAATATATAAAATAAATTAAATAAAAGTAAGAGATTATTATTAATAAGTTATTAATTATTCAAATTCTCAAATTTAAAGAGAGATAATTAATAATAGAAATCATAAATTATAAAGCAAAATATTATAGATCTATTACTATTTTAGAGCTTGAATTGATTTTTAAAGAATTTATACTAGTCTATCAGAAATAAATAATCTTAAATAATATATTATTAATTAAAAAAATCAAGTTATTAATAAAAAATTTGAACTTTTTAATTAGTTATAACTTATGATAACTAATTAGAAAGTTATAATAAAATTATAATAGCTAATTAGAAAATTATGATAAAGTATAACTAGTTATAATTCTTATTACTAGTATTAACAAATCAAAATATTATTATTAAATCATTATTATTATTAATATTTTAGTTATTTTTTTAAATAAATTTATAATATAGATAAAATAAAATTTTTTTATTAATTAAAGTCTAATAAATATTAATAATAAGATATTTTTTTGATTATAAAAAAATAAAAAATAACTTTTAGTTATATTATATTTTAATATTAATAAATTATATAAGTTAAATTTTTTTATAATTAATAAGTTAGTAAAATTATAATATTTCAAGAATATAAATTTAAAAACTTAATCATAATATACTAAAATAATTTTAAAACTTGAATATTATAATTTTTTTTAAGTATAGCTTTAGATATTTAATTATCAAGTTTTATAAAGATATAGAGATTAATAAATTCTTTTGCTTCTTAATAATTATTAAAGATATAAAATAGAGAATTTAAATTTTTAATATATTGATATTTACTTTTTTTTTCTAATATTATTTTAAAAATCTAGCTGATAGATACTGAAATAATTATGATATTTAAAAGTTAATATTATTATTTTCATTTTTAATAAGCTATTACTATTTTTATTATTATTTAACTTAATTTATTTATAAATTTAGATAATTATTATACTAGATTAAAATAAATTATTTGATATAAGACTTAAAAGATAATTATTTTTTAAGTAATTTACTAAGATAATTATTTTTCAAGTAATTTACTAAGATAATTAATATTTTTAATCTCTCTATTATAATAAAAGTAAAGAATTTTTAATTTTTTTTAATAAAAATATTATTTATAAAATTCTTAAAAATAATCAAGAACTTATAAACTTATTTATAATTGATAATTTAATTAAAAAAAATATATTCAAAATTAAAAACTTAAATAAAAATAATAATATTAAGATTCTAATAATTATAATTAGTATAATATTAAGAAATTTAAAAATATTTTTATTTTAGCAAGTAAATATAAGTAAGCAAATAAATTGATAGATATACTAAAAAGTTTATTAAAAAAAAGTTAATTAATATAATAAATTAATATTTTATTATTAATTTAAATTAATATAATATAGAATACTTTTTTAATAAAAAATTAATAAATATAAGAGTAAAAATTAATATAATATATAATAAATATTTAATAAATACAGAATTTTTTATAATAAATATTTAATAAATATAAAATATTTTTTAATATAGTATAGGACAGCATAAAATATTTAATTTATTATATGAAATATCAAATTTTAATCCTAATTCTAGTATTATATAGTGATGTAATTAATCATGTAATTAATGATAAATTAATACTAATTTCTATAATAAGATTAGTAAAAGTTAAATTATCATGCTATTTAATTAATACCTACTAGTCTATATATAGACAAAGTAAGTAAAGAATATCTTTCATAGTAAAATAAGAATAATCACACCAAAAAATAAAAATATTTGTCATCATAATGCATATTCTTAATATTTATTGATCAGATATAGCAAAATATATTCTTCATTTTTCATTATACCTACTTCTCTTTATTAATTTAATAACTTATTAACCTGATTCATAATCTTTTCATTAATTAATCTATATCTCTTATACTTTTTGATCACATATTTTACTACTTTTTCAGTTAAATCATAATGATAAGCATTCATCTATCTAAATGACAGCCTAGCAAAAGAATGAATTCTCTTTATAAAAATAGAATCAAATACTTGAGAGACTATTTTTCTGATTTTTAATAATAAATACTTATAATAAGATTGAGTATACTTCTTGACTATCTCTCAGTATATCTTAATATAGTTAAATTTAGAATAAAACTTGAGGTAGAATATAACCTAAGAATAGATAATATTATCAAGATCAGGCTAGTTAGGAAAGAATAACTAAAGATAATAAAATTACCTTATGTTTACAAGATTCAATTTCTTGTTGAATCTGATCACACTGCACAAGAAAATCTGGCTGATTAGTCATTAAATGATGTATATAACAATCAATAATATTAGGATCTGTCTCTTTTCTCTTGCACAAAGTGCATTCTAGTACTATTCTTTCTTGTTATAATCCTCTTTCACTAAGAATCTACTAGATTCCTTTAGCTTGATCATACAAGTTGATATTGGATTTTGTCTTCTTGTTATAAATGAAGTAATCTTCTTCAATAATCATTGATTGATAATCACCATTTTATATCATATCTCATATTTTTGAAATTGATCCTCCTGGATTAAGATTCATTTTTGAAGCTACAAGAGTATCTTCAGCAAAAATCATATGAGAAGTAGCATTATCAAAGATAAATATACTTATATTCTCCAGATATATTCATTTAAAGATATTTATCATTCATATAACTTGTTCAAGAAGTTTTCTAGAGTCCTAAAATCTGTTTCAGTTAGTATTAAGTATTATTATTATGCATATCTCTTCCTATTTATCTTTAAGTAATCCTATTATCTCTGTTAAAAAATCATTCACATGCACATCAAGATCCAATTCTTTTTTTTGTAATGGTTATTCTTCTTCAGGACTTTATACAGCATATGATCCATCATAAATATAGAAGGTTAATTTATCATGAGTTACCTATATATGCTCTTTCTCATTATTATTTAAATATGAGAAAGTTTTTATCTTGCAATTTTTGTTAAGTCACTTAAATATAAGCTGATTAAGTTTAGTAATCTCTTAAAGAAAAATTTAATGATAGATAATGATATCAGACTGTTTATATTTATTTGTATAAACATCTTTTTGAAGATATTTATACTAAAAACTAAGTTTATGTATTCATTAATGAGTGATTCAAATCAAGATATGTTGAACAGATTCAATATTCAATTAGAAAAGGATATGTTACTTGAAATATTTCTTGATCATTATTAGATCCATCTTGAACTTCTGAACATATAGATAAGTAGCTAATTAGAGAAAAACTAGCTTATCATAAAGTAGACTTTTGGAGAGAAATCTCTCTCAAGCAATTAGCTAGATTAATTTCTCTTTCATGCAGATATTTATCTACTTTCTTATATATTTTGCAAGCTATAGTCTACCATTAACTATCTTTAAAATCATTTTCACTATCTCAATTTTCTTTTTATTATTAAGCTGCAATTGGAAAAAATAAAGAACTATTATATAACAAGTAATTTGAGTTTTAGAAAGCATTTTATCAAGTATTACTCTATTTACAAATTTAATTACCTTGCATATATTTTCATCTTTAGTCAACTCTGATTTAGTATTATTATCACTTCTGACATTTTTGCTAGTAGTATGAAAAAATTATGAAATTTTTGAACTTTCTACTACTACTTCTCTTAATTTTTTATTTTTTCTTTACTGTATCTGTTTTGAATCATCAGTATAAATAGCTAGATGCTCTTTTTTTTCAAAGCTTACTGTTATTATTGCAAAAAGCTAATTAATTATAGAATTTCTATTTATCTCAATATTATCTAACTTATTGTCATC